GAACCAAACTCTCACTCCATTTGTACATGGACCTGATGCACTGCAGCAATAGATCCCATGCTTCTGGAGCACCCCCCACAGGACTCCTTGAGGGACACGATCATATGCCCTTTCCAAGTCCACAAAACATAGGTAGACTGGTTGGACAAGCTCCCATGAACCCCTCAGTATCCTTGTGCAGGTGAAGAGCTGGTTCAGTATCCCGTGACCAGGATGGAATCCATATTGTTCCTCCTGGATCCCAAGTTCGACCAACAGGTGGATCCTACTCTCAGGTACCCTGGCATAGACTTTCCCAGGGAGGCTAAGGAGTGTGATCTCCCTAAAGTTGGAACACAACCTCCTGTCCCCTTTCTTAAATACTCGGACTGTCCCCAACGTCCACACAATGTTGAAGAGGCAAGTCAGTCGAGACAGCCCAACATCATTAAGAGTTTTTAAGAATTCATGGCGAATCTCATCCCCGGAGCCTACCACTGAAGGATTTTTTGACTACTTCAGTGACCTTACCCTGTCATGGCCTGCTCGTGCCGATCCTCCTGTGTGCCACGCCCCCTTCGCTACCTCCTGTGGAATCCCCAGGTTACCAGCTGTTTCGAGCCATGTTGATTGATGTTGTGTATTTAAGTTTGCATTAGGGTACGTTTCCCCAGTCCGGTCATTGACATCAGTCCTGTGTGTTGCTCCATGTTCCTGGATGTATTCTCCCCAAATAAATCCTGCATTTCCCTGACTCCCTGGGCTCCTGCTCCTCTTTCCCCACTCCGTGCCTGTTAGTGCGTGACATAGCCCTAGAGATGGGCAAGTCCGCCTCTGAGTCTTACAGCTGAACTTCCTCCAAGGATGGTGTATTAGTGGGATCCATGCAGTCCTCAAAATATTCTTTCCACTGCCTGACAGTATCCATATTTGAGGTCAACAGTTCTCCAGCCCTGTTATAAACAGCATGGGTAAAGACCTGCTTCCCCCTCCTGAGTCGCCTGACGGTTTGCCAGAATCCTTTTGAGGCTAAAATCCTTCTTCATGGCCTCACCAAACTCCTTTCTGACCTGAATTTTTGCTTCAGCAACTGCCGAAGTCACTTTCTGTTTGGCCTACTGGTACCTGTCAGCTGCTTCAGGAGACCCACAAGCTAAGTAAGCTAACCTCCTTCTTCAGCCTGACAGCTCCCTTAACCACTGGTGTCCTGCAACATGTACCGGGAACCTTATGGCCACAGTTCACCCCAGCAGCCTCAGCAATGGAGTCCTGGAACATAAGCCATTCAGGCTCAATATCCCATGACTCCCCCAGGATACAAGAGAAGTTCTGCCAGAGTTTTGAGTTAAAGATATCCTGGACAGGGGCCTCCACCAAGTGCTTCCAGCATACCCTCACTATGCGTTTTGGTCTACCAGGTCTATCCAGCATCTTGTTGACGGCTTACCTCCTCTCTTCACCCAAACATGTGGATACAGATCTTTTGACACAATTACAAAATCGATGATCAAACTGCTGCCTGGGTGCTCTTGTGCCTGGTGCATTTAAGATGTTCGAACATAATGTTTGTTATGGACAAACTGTGGTTACCACAGAAGTCCAATAACTGATCACCGCTCAGAATCCACTTAGGCAGGTCATTCCTCCCAATGACACCTTTCCAGGTGTCACTTTGACTACCCATGTAAGCATTAAAGTCCCCCAACAGAACAATGGAGTCCCCAGAAGAGGTGCCCCCCCCCCCCCCAAGGCCCCCAAAAAGGTAGGATACCCTGGACTAGTGTTCCGTGCATACACACAGACAACAGTCAGATCATGTTCCCCAACACAAAGTCGAAGGGAGGCATATGATGTACTGGCGCTGAACTGGGGGGCTATAAGTAGACCCACCCCTCCCTGGTGCCTCTCACCATGTGCAACTCCCGAGTGGCATAGAGTCTAGCCCCTCTCCAGGAGTTTGGTTCCAGAGCCCGAGCCATGGGCTGTAGTGAGCCAGACTATATCTAGTCAGTATCTCTCTACCTCCTGCACCAGCTCAGACTCCTTTCCCACCAGGTTATATTCCATGTGTCAAGAGCCAGTTTTGGTAGTCGACCTGCCTTTAACTGCCAGCCAATCTACACTGCGTCCCACCCCCATGACCCCCCTACAGGAGGTGGGCCCACAGGTGGGCGGACCCATGTTTCTCCTTCAGGCTATGCTTGGTTGGGCCCCATAGGTGGAGGCCCGGCCACCAGGTGCTCTCCTCCAGAACTGGTTCCAGGGTGAGGCCTGGGTCTCGCCATTCCAGGCGCGGTAATATGGTCCAGTATATTGTTCATCATCATTAGGGTTTTCCAAATTACACTTGTCTGGCTGCTCACCTAGGACTAATTTGCCTTGGGAAACCCTACCAGAGGCAACTGCTCCTGATAACATAACTCCTCGGATGATAGAGGCACACAAACCCCTCCAACACAATAAGGAGGTGATTCTAACTGTCTAAGATAAGTGTCAAATTGAAGGGGAGGCTTCCAGGAACTCATTACAATGAAATGCCACCATTTGTCGAAACTGCAATCTGACACAGAATCTCCGGAAATATTACATGCAGTATGTTACATGACATTGCTAAAGTTACAAAGGTTTAAACAAGACCTGAACTCAGTAAGGCACACAAAGTAAAACATCCAGAATAGGAGTGAACACATCTCAAGACTGATGTTACAAGGTTCTAGCAGACAGATGAGATGAGTGACTCTTGTTAGAGCAGATGGGTGGGCTCGTGGATGATTGTCTAATAATTGTGCACACTGATGATGAAGAATTTTTCTTTTGTTTTCTTGTGTGACAAACTAACTTACCATTTTCTCTCTAAATAAATTTACTTGGAGCAAAAGAAAACTTCTAAATTCACTTTTACAAGTCTACCCAACTTTTGCTAAAAATTAGCTCCAGGAATAGTGCTTGTCTAATAATTCTGCACACAGAATGAAGGAAGTATCCTGGTCAGTCCAGATGTCCTGGGGGAGTGTGATCTAACAGAAAAGTTGTACCAAATGTCCGGTGATGTTCTTGATGATGGCCTAGTACAGGAGAGCAACTTCACCAATATGATTGGGGGCTACAATGTGGGACCAGTACTTCCTGGGTCAGTACTCCCACTATACTACTCGCAAGAAAGTCACATGGTTCACTTCAATGTTACCGCGCTCTCCATTATTTATACTTAATTATGGAAATATCTGTTTCCCTGCCTGTCTTCAATCACTGTTTTATATTAGTATTCTGTTATTGTTTTAAACCTGTTCTACAACCAAATGTCATTCTACTGCAGTGTAATGACAATAAAGGGCTCTTATTTAGGGCCCTAAGAAATCTGTTTAATTTTTTCTCAAATTCCGTTTTCCCCCAAAATTTTTTTCAGATTTATTTTAATTCGTTTCGGACTTCAAGTTCTCTATAAGCTGCCGAACTGAAAAAACGAAGCTTTAAATAGACGGAAGTCTCATAGTTTTCAGAGTCTGACGTGTCGCACCCTGTCTCTGTTACCTGTCTCCTTTAAGGCTCATTTTTCAGTTCAGAATCTCTGTAACAAACCCCGGACTTTTTCAGACAAACTGTTGGCTGCCACACTCTATATGTCACACTGCCTTACGGTTATCGCTGCCCTGGGATGATAAGGCAGGATGTGATGCAGCGTTATCAGGAACATAACTTTATGTGCAGAAGTTTACAGCTGTGGGTGGTAGTACAGCAGAAGCACTGCCTTATATGCTGGTAATGAATAAAACACAGACAATTCTAAGATAAATGTGATAATGGCAGTACACCTAACAAGAATTACATATGTACTTTAAATGTTCCCCTGAATAAAGTGTTTTGGACTGTGTAGGAAAACTGGAGAACCCAGAGGAAACCCAGACAAGCACAGGGGGACCCTATACACCAAACTAGGAATTCTACCAACAGCTCTGGAGGTGAGAGGTATGAATATTCATATACATTGCAATCAAAGAAAACAAAATATGTAAAAAATAATTAGAAATAAATACATGTATACGCAACAGAATCATAACATGTGTGGATTTGGAATTTCTAAGATTGTAATATAAAATTTCACCTTTTTTTTTTTTACAATAAAATTAACAGATTACATCAGGACAAACCATAAAGAAAACAGAAATAGATGCATAGGAGAAAAATGGAGAGCAGCAAACCTTTAAACATCTGAATATCTACAGTAATGTGCTATTTGCCTCACTTGTAGGTTCCTGTGGACAAAAGTGTTTGGCAAGTAAAAATAAATGTAAATGTAAAAATCTACAGTGAGAGCTATGATATTTGAAAATGAATGTGTAAGGCAGGTTAGTCTATGTTTACCTCTGAGATGTCAGCATACCCAGATCATGTATGGAAATTCTATTAAAATATTTTATTAGAATATTCGGTTTTCGTCAGCTGTCTGTTATTCAACAGTAGATATATTGTTTGATTTTACCTGGACATCAAAGTTCCCTGCCACAGTTTGCATACCACAGTGATATGAAACACAGGTGGGTAGGCCTGAATGTGAGTCCTGACAGGCTGTACCTGAAATACACCTACCCACATTAATAAGCTCTAATGAGTTGAAAACTATTCCTTATAATGGAATAAACACTTCCATATTGTGGAAAAACTCCTCAAAGAATCTGATGTGATTCAAACGACGGTCCGTTATTTTTTAAAGTATTCCTCCTTTCCTGTATCCATTCACATTCTTGAACGAATTTAGAGAAAAGTTCATTTTTGCAAATAACTTGGTGTTTTACATTTTTGTTCATGATTATAAAACAAAGTTTATCTTAGGTGTGAAAAAACTGATTCCTGATTAAACACTGACCCGATAATAACCATTTTCGTTCTAGAGGACTGATGGATGACACTTTGTTTCATTCATTTGTATCATTTGTTCCTAGAGAAAAGCACCGCAAACGTCAGCATTTTTACAATCAGATTCAGTCGGTTTAAAACCATGTCGCCAATAATGTCAAAAGTGTTTAATCGCCCGTGGGAATGTTTGTTATATAACGCGATTTACCGCATTCCCTTCTTTAGCTGGTTACGGGCAATTGCATGCACGCGCGAGACAGGCTGAGCCCAGGCTACCGACGCGCGCATCGCCGAGCTGTACGGACTTTGAAATCCTACATTCAAGCAGATCCTCTTGGAATATTAAAGGCGAGATACAGCCCATAGGTAGCCCAGAGGTGAGTCATTATATTTGCGGCATCAAGAGTGAGGGTCATTTTTAAAATTAAGGTGTTGGTGCGATTTTAAATTGAACCGTGAATGTTGCACAACGAATCGGAACGCGAGCGTGGCCCAGCTAGTTAGGGTGGCATCGCGGACAGATCGGATCAGAGATGGCTGGCTAGATCCAGCCCTTCGCAAAACGCACGTAACGGTGCTTGATTGCTGCGAGAAGAGCTGTAACGCATGCATTTTAAATATACTGTTTCAGAAGAACCTTGCTGCTCATGTTATGGACATGCGCAGAAAAGCGTAGCCTCGAAAAATAGTTCAGGTGAGCTAGCAAGTGAAATGTTCATGTGACAATGGACGTCTTGTGTTGTCTTACTCGCATTTTGATTGCGTCGTGATAGTATTTTGCTATCCCAGAGTTGGGATTGATAAACTGGATCCAAACTTTGGAACCAGACTGAAGTACTTTGATATTTTAATAAACAGTAAAATGAGTACCAAGACGTATTAAATTTTTATCATGGTTTGATTAGCTTATAATTTGGTATACGTTTTAAAGTCGACTCAAATTTGGCTACAAAATAATTATTTATTTTAGAGAAAGTCTGTTGCCCCTCATTAGTTGAACAACTTGATCTACTTGGACGTAATTGGCCATTTTTATAGCGAACATCAGTATGCGTAACCTTTAAGTGCGCAGTACAACTTTTTGTCTAGATTTTGTGTACCGGTTTGTGTAGTACCTTAAAATGCATCATTAGTCGGATCCCGCTTGCAACACGAATAGTTAGCAGCAACAACAACAGTAATAATATTGAATAGTTAACCTCGGAGAATGTTTGATTAGCAAATCGAATTTAACGTACTTAGACCAAAGCTGTACGGTTTTATATGAATGAGTTACGTGGAGTAATTGCATGATTTAAACGTGCTGATGATGATGACGACCAACAGTCAGGCAGTAGATGCACATGCATGATAGGAGAGAATGAAAGCTTTCTTTGTGATGATTGGAGCAGGTTCAGTTGAGTAGGCAAAAATACAGTTCTCATAAGATTTAGCATGACACTGCATTGGATCTACATCTGCCTTAGTATGTAAATATAAATTACTGTGGAAAAAAGTTGCTTTTTATGCTGAACACGAGCATATTCTGCTTGTGTATGTGGCTAGCTTTGCATGTGATGTATTGTGTTAGCAAAAAACTAGACTCAGCATGAGTTTGGATGTTGACAGGACAAGTATAAATGCCAGCACATAAATCTAACTAAAATGTGGGTATTAGACATTCTTGGGTGATTGATACATTGTGATATGTTCATCTGTATTTATGATGCTGTTCACAATCTTGTTAGCTAAGAAAAGCAAGCTTGTAACCTAGTTGTCCAGCTGCTCATATCACGAGAGTAGTTAAGGAGAGTGGTGATGTCAGATTATGAACGTGTGGCGTGGTGCTGCAGAAGTAATAAATTGAGAACTGTAAAATTGAACTGAAATTCCCCTAGGCAAAGTCACTTGTATGGAAATCATGCATTTAGTTGGGCGGTGTGAATAAGCGTTGGGTTAGGGTGCCACTGATGCCTCTGAGCACAAGCTAGAGGGTGGAGGTATTGCGAGTGCAGTTTCTGCTCGGCTAGTAATGCGACTTGACATGGATTGGGGGGGCGGAGTGGGGGGGGGGGTTGTGCCAGTGAATGCAACATTGACACTAGGTCTGATGTTGGCACTGGGCTTGTCCAAACACACACTGCTGCCCCATCTTTTGCCTTGATGACTATAGTCTTGTCCCGGGGTGTTAGGGGGGTCATGGCTTGTATGTGTAGTGCAACAGCAAGCACTTTTCAAGCAGTCCTGCACGTGTTGTGCAAGATCGAGTTGTGTGGCATGCTTACCTGTCATGCTCCAGAGGGGTGGGGATACTTATGAGTACAATTCGGTTGAGTGGAAATACTAGAATTTGTTGAAGTGGTGGTGGGGGGGAGGGATGGGGGGATTCTTGTAATGGCATGTTGGAGAAACGTATTCATGTGGAAAGTAGGAGTGGATAGGAGACCATCTATGCACTGAGCAACGGCTTCCCAGGGTTTGTCTTCTGTTCCTGGGGTGGGATTGGGGGATGGCCAGGGAGTCATCCCTTTTTATCTCTTGAACAGCCCTTTGGTCTCGTACAGTGCTTCCCAACCCGGTCCTCAGCGTTCTCCCTGCGTCACCTGTCCTCCCACAGTTTGAAGACGTACGTTAAGGGGGATGGTGAGCGGCTCAGCAGGCTGGGTCTCTATGCCTGTGATCAGAAGATCACAGGTTTGAATCCCAGGCTCATCTCTGTTACCACCGCCGCCATGTACAGCTGAGCTTATGCTCAGACCCCAAACTTCACTCGCATGTACAATCTAGTGTACAAATGGCAAATAACACGTCATCTCATGTATGACCCGTCTCACAGTTAATGCAGCTAAGCTGTGCTGAAATTTTGACCTAGATGCACCTACTGAGTTACAGGCCTCANGAAGATCACAGGTTTGAATCCCAGGCTCATCTCTGTTACCACCGCCGCCATGTACAGCTGAGCTTATGCTCAGACCCCAAACTTCACTCGCATGTTTGAGTCCCAGCCTCAGTCATATATACATCAACTCCTGAGCAAGGCCCTTAACCCCCAGCTCCAGGGGTGCTCCACGTTAGCCGACCCTGCGCTGTGACCCCCAAGCTATGGAGAGCAAGATGGGGTCAGCGAAGGGAAGCATTCCAATGCACCTGTACTTGTGTAAATGGCAAATGAACCATGTTTAACTACGGTTAATCGTGTTTCTGAGTTGCCTGTAGCATGTGTTCCCTGAGACAGGCTTCAGATCCTGTGTGATTCTGCCCAGGATGAATGGATTGTAGATGGCTGGGTGTAGATGGCTGGGTATAGATGGCTGGGTGAATCATTGCTCCATGATTGCTACACTTTAATAACTGAGAGATTATGAATAAAGGTGGGGATGCTATGTGTAATGGGGGGGGGGGGGGAAAAAAAAAAAAAAAAAATTTGGATTGGTCTGCGTTGGGGGCCCAATTAGGATATGATGTCATGGGATCCAAAATCTCTAGTGGTGCCACTGGCCCTATGAATAGAATGTGAATGTTTTGTTGGCTGAGGGTGACTGAAGGTCATTGTAAGATAAAGACATAAATGCAGGTTTATGGTCTCTGTGTCCATTTTATCTGCTGGGGACTGGAATATGGATCAAAAGTTAGTTTGAAGGTCTGAGGGGCATCCCAGCTAACAGTTGTTACAATAATGCCTTATTTTCAGTTATGATTAAAGAAAATCAAGTCAAAAAGTCAAAGTATCATTATTGTCATCTTCATCTGTATGATCCATTGGAGGTTATGATTTTCTTGGTCACAGTGCAAGAAAACAGTGAAAAATAGAAAATGATTATGAAGGACATTGAGCCTGACAGTATACTGAGGCATGATTTAATACATTGAAAAATACAATCAAAAATCTGCATTTATTTGTTTATATCTATGTCACCTGTCATAGCACAAAATCCATGTTCTGCTTTCTTATGTGGCATAAAATTCATAGATTACCTGGCTGCTTGCATTGAACTTAGGAGGCTTAATTAGTGTTGGCATCCATGATGAAAGGTCACTTTTATCCGCCTCTTGCCATTCAGGGCTATCAGGAACAGAAAATGAAAAACCTACATAGGTGGTTGCACTGGCGCTGAAATACCCAGCTCTTATGAAGTCTTCCAACTCTCTTAGTTGTAGATCTTCTCGCGTAATGTTGTTTTCATGCTTTTGTATTTTATTTAGTCGCTTGTTCTGTTGATCAAGGCTAAGCGGAATTCATCTTTCTAAGTCCCAGATGCTCTGCAGGTCGCAGAGGTGGAACACGCAAAGGTGTAGATGAGTGTAGTAAGTGTGTAGTAAGGAATAGGATGGCCTATTTACTCTTATCTGCTGTGCCATCTGCTGTGCCATCAGTGTGAGCCTCTGACCTTTGACCTCTGCAGCCCCTTAGAGTAAACAGGAATGCTAAGTGAGTCCATGAAGTTGGGGGAAGGTAGTAGCATATTGATATGCTAAAAATCTGAGAGTTGTGCAAGGGTGTGACAAAGTAATTTTTGTGCAATGAGTACTGGAAGACCAAGGGTGTGTGTTTGCCTCGAATTAACACACAAAATTAAATGCACAGCATATAGATAATGGTTCTGACTATTCCAGTAATTAAATGGGAGTTCCACGCAAATATGAAATGTATAGATGCTGGTCATTGTCATGTGTCACAGTCTGAATATGGCTAAGTCACAAAATCCGCACCAAGCATTATTATAAGAATTATTGGGCATGTCTTTGTGATCGATCTATTTCATTGGAATGTAGTTCATCATTAATTCAGAGTATCTGAGTGTTTCATTCTATGTTTATGAACTCATTATTATTCAGTATGACTCGGCAGTTTTCTATTTCCAGTCATATTTTGTGATATTCATATTCTGTCTGTGAAGAAGGCCTGGCTTCCTGTCCAGTCCACCTCCTGACTTGTGCCTTGTACTTCCTGTGACCCTATACTGTATAAACATCTACGGGGAATGGATGGATATATATTAAAGATTTTATTTTAAGGATTTTCTTAATGCATGTCTCATTGGCACGATGCATCGATTTCCCTTGCATTTCTCCAATAATAGTAGGCGATATCGTAAGAGAGCAAACAAAAAGCCCCAATATGTCTCATGAAATTAAATGTCACAGACGGACAGCTTGTGGCTTTGCGGTGCTCAGTGGCTTTGCGGTGCTCAGTGGCTTTGCGGTGCTCAGTGGCTTTGCGGTGCTCAGTGGCTTTGCGGTGCTCAGTGGCTTTGCGGTGCTCAGTGGCTTTGCGGTGCTCAGTGGCTTCGCTCAGTGTAGCGTGTTGCATCAGTGTCTCTGAATCCTTGCTTGGTTGGATCCGTTGACATGATTTTGAGAGACCGCTATACATTCTGAAGGCACGGCTGAACTTGTCCAGCCACTGAAATACCCCGCTCATAAATGTCTGCGTACGAGTGTCACACAAACGTGTCCTGCAGCATATTCCATACACTCACCAGGACCTGTTCATCTGCTGAATCATAATTGATCATTCTCTCGTCCAGGCCTGAACAGCGAGAAGATTGTCAAAGCTTGTTTTCATGTACATCAAATGTTGCTAAATGTATGATTTGAAACGATTCTGAGTTTCTGTATTATTTTGCACTCATTTAAAAAATGCCGACAACCAGATACCTCAATGGTGTAAATGGTTTAAAATGGGCGATGCACACCATTCTGATTATTTCTCGCATTACTGATAGGATTGTCTAACAAGTATTGCTTATTTGCTAATAAAGTTCCATTTCTTATCCTGTGTGTCCTGGTATTTGGATCAAGGCTAGTATTTGGTGGTTTTGTGCAGTTGTGAGAGTATTTAACTGTTTAACACAGTTGGTTTTTGTAATGTTTATAGCAAATCTAGAAATTAAGGCGTACTCTTTCATGCAAATACTGCCAGTTAGAAATGTTATTGTCAATTTAAACTTGTCAGTACTTTGATGTCTGACAAAAGTACAAAAACTGATTTAAATGGGGATACATACTGTACAAAGTATTATGATCACCTGCATGTGCAGCAATAATGTTGACTGTCTCATAGAAACGGTGCGTGTCAAGGTCTGTGAGATATTATACAATAAGCTAACATTCAATACTTGTAATTGACATGGTGAATGCAGAATAAATTGGCAGGGATAAAGATGTGAGTGACTGACAAGGGCCAAATCATTGTATTTGAGCCCTTTCTCTGTTTTAGATGTCTGTGGAAATCAGGGGTAGGGGGACTGGCGTCTTCCATTAGTGCCTAAAGAGCTTGATGGTATGAACAGTTAATTTATTCACAAACACTTCTGAAAGTTTATTGTTACCATATGCTTGTTAATGCTGTGTGCTGCAGAACCCATCCCATAAGTGCGTTTTACATTGATTCCCAAAATGTTCAGTGCTATTTAGGGTTGCAAAATTCCCGGAATTTTCAAAGATGGAAACTTTCCATGGGAATTAACGGGAATTAATGGGAATAAACGGGAATTAACGGGAATTTATGGGAATAAACTGGGAATTTTCAAAATTGAAGGTTGGCTCTTCTTAGGGAACTTAAATATAGTTGAGCAAAGTATATTTTAGCATAATATTGACAAAAAGGCTGGAAAGTGACACTGAAGAGGAAGACTCAGAGTTGGATGCTGAGGAAGTGGACATGTTGTTGGATGATGATGAGGTCCAGGAAGAGTCTATTGACTGAGCAAAAATGAGAAAAGAGGATTGCTTGAAGGAAGATTTGCATGTTTAATGGGACGTTTTGGAGGATAAGTGGCATTTTTCATTTAACCTTTTGAATGGGACTTTGTGGAGATTTTTGGACAGGGGGCATTTTTGAATGAGCGGGGTTAGGGGATGGTAATATTGAACTCAACATTTCTGTTTTTATTCATCCATGAAACAAGTTATTGAAACGTGTTCTATTCTACTGTACTTACAAATAAATCTGTTGAAATATCTGTTGAAAACATTTTGCATGGAGGTTTTCTTATGATTTCTGTTTATATTTATGCTTGGAAATAATATATTCCCAGTTAGTTCTCCTAAATTCCCATTAATTTCCATAATTCCCATTATTTCCATGGAAAGTTTCCAATATGGAATATTTCCAAAATTCCCAAGCTTAACTTACCATGGAAATTTACCGGAAATTTACCGGAAATTTTCCGCCCCTTTGCAACCCTAGTGCTATTCAAATTACTGAAATGTTTCCTGTGTATAAAATCAGGCAATCTAGGCAATACATGTGAAAGATAACCATTCCAATATTTTTAAAAAGGTGATTAACGAAAAACGGTAGCTGGCTACTAAAGTACAATATATTTGAAAGAGGGGTTGGTAAGACAATAATTTACAAAGCTTATATTGGTCAGAAAAATTTCTAATGAATAGTTAAGTTATTGTATTACCATTGTCAGCCAAAAAAATAGTTGACTTGAATTAATGCCGCAATAATGTTGGTGGTGTCACAGATCCTACTCCAAGAAGAACCCCCGACCAGGAGATGCTGTAGAGGGACAAAGGATTTCCTGGCCTTATAAACTATTTAGTTCCTGGCTGCAATTCCTCTATTGACAGACAGCTATAGGTCATTGCGAAAAGGCCAGGCAAGACCCTTAATGACATATGGTATTTTGTGATAACCTCATGGCTTAAGGCAATAGCTAAGCAGGTCAACAGATACTTATCTTTATTTTATGTACTTTGTCCACCTTGGCTTACTAATATTTCGTACGTTGCAGTATCAAAAGTCATATTCTAGACATGCTTTAAGCATGTGTCAAGTAAAATGGTTAATTAGTGAGTTAAAATCGTAAAGGAATCTGATATGAGCGATACTTTTTGGATAATTTCTGATTGATATCAAATTTTTTTCACAGAATTCCAGATGCAGTGTGTAAATGCTAACAATGTCGTCTCTTCTGTGCCAAATGCAGACCAATTATGAGCATGATTGGGGTCATGGATCCTCTTTCACTGACCTGTCATTCGCAGTGGGGGCCTCACACCTGTTGCTCTGCCTCGTCGCACCTCTTTGTTTCTCCTCACATGCTTTCCCTTCTGTGCCTGAAATATGTTGGAAGGTCTCAGCTTAGGGATGTTTTTTTGCCAACTTCCACAGAAGGCTTTAACCCTGGTTGTGGTCCAGGGCATTTCCCTGCATGGAGGTGCTGTGGGAACTGCAAATCTATCCAGAATTTTGTAGAATTACCCTGGAGCCAGATATTCCCCTTGCAGTAACTAGACCAGAGGGGCACCACGTTTGGGTCACCCAGGCTATAGCCCGAAATACCACACTGCACCTGCAGTGGTCATATGATATAGACGATTGATTGAACACTATCAAAACACCTGCTGACCACTATTATATTTGTATTTTGTAGTACAAATAATTGGCTATTATATGGTGTGATGTAGTTTTTAAAGGAACTTGAATGGTACTGTTTTTTTGGGATTAAAAAAAATGGTATGTTGTATCATTTTGACATGATTGTCATATTACTTGTTTGATGGGATACTTGCTTTGCCTTGACCACCTGTAACGAAATCAGCCAAGGGGAAAAAATAATACATATTCCCTTACAAGATTAGAATATTTTTTTGTAATAACTTTCTTTTGGAAAAAATGTTTCTTTGAGTCTCTCTGCATGCAAGTTCCGATTCATTATGGCAGAGTTGCGGTGCTTGTTGGGCCATCTGTAACTTTGTAACTGTTTAAATATGAAGGTAATAGCTGGCTTCTTTGAATTTTAACGTTTAAGCGATGACCTGGCAACTCTCCATTTGATGTTTCTTCCCAGGAATGGAATTTGTAGTGGATATCTTGGGCGCAGTGAGTCATGGAGACCTTGAAAAGTCAGCAGAACAGTACATGTCAGACCTTCTACGCAGCAACCCAGATAAGCCGGAATACTTTACGCTGCCCAAGTCCAGACAGGTGGGTGGAGACTTTTCCCTTGTGCTTTGAAAGGGCACTACTGAACTTTCTATTGCTGTTTTGTGTAGCAGACCTTTAGTGAATTCAGAATTTAGTGATTAGTTGTCATTGTTGGCACAACAACGAAATGTGTCCTCTGCATTTAACCCATATGTGACATAGTGACATAGCAGGGGGCAGCTAATTCAGCACCCAGGGAGCAGTGCTTGGGGGCGGTACCTTGCTTAGGGTACCTCAGTGGTGTGGGATTCGAACCTGCAATCTTTCATTTACAAGTGCGCTTCCCTGACCATTAAGCCACCACTGCCCTACAATACCTACAATGGATAATTCATTTAGGAAAATAAACAGCATCGTTATTGACTGTTCATTAAAAAACGAATAAAATCCCGGTGATCCTGGAAAAACATGCCCAGTCCATATTATGCATTTTATTTGCCTACCAGATATCAACATATATTTAAGGGATCTTAATTTAGTTATGTTAATCTTACTGTATGTTGAAAGGAATTGTTAGAGGCATTTCACCAGTTTTTCTTCCGTAAGTTGTTCTTTGTGTAACAGAGTAGGAATCAACACCAAATAGGAGCTGTTTTGCTTTTGCAGTGAAGGAAACCTTGTCATGTTTCATTGTCTTGCTTTGTGGGGCTTGAGCAGTAGTTGGCAACTTGGGACGGTTCCCAGAGAAGGCTGACAAAGTTAAGCAATGATGTATCAATGGGAAAACAGTAGGAGGAACTCCAGACTAAATATTTTCCCTTCACTTTTTGTGGATGGCCTTGTCTGTAAAAATTATTCTTGAATGGACAGCATTTCTCTTCCTCTGTCTCTCTCTCTCTCTGTCTCTCTCCCCCTCTCCCTCCCCCCCCCCAACTTTCTCTATGCTGTGTGGCCATTATGCTTTGTATTCCTGTGACCTCATGGTGCTCAAATACATAATACATGTCGTGGAGCATCAACCTGTCCATGCACCTACAAAGATGTCAGTGGCAAAACGTATCAGTCGAGGGGAAAAGAGAAACTCTGCAGGCTACGTTTATGTTTGTGACAATATATCTGTTAGAATTTGCCATGGTGTTGACCTCTAATGCATGTATTTGAATTTTTTATTTGCGTATAATTGACTATGCAGCTTTGTGCAAAAATGTGTCTCATTAATTTGTGAGTTGTGGTGCTTTTGGGACTGGCACCATCGTCTTGCCTGCCTCTGAGCTGGCATGTGTCCTGTGCCTGTCACATAACAGCCCTCCACCCCTCTGCTGTGACAGATTCCCCTCAGTCTGCCCAACATGGGCTTCGTGCCCATCTATGGGGCGGACCTGAAGCGCAAGGTGCTGGCTCTTTTTGCACCAGAAGACCAGTTCACAGGTACAGTGCTGCTCTGTACGTGACACGTGTGACACCGGTGCTCGCACACGCCCTTCATTTAAAATGACGCTCCGCACAAAGACGGCAGCCTCGCTAACATGCTTCTGAATGCCCCACCTTTCTGTATGTTTCATTGTTTTTGTTTGTCACGCTTCACACTTCAATGACTCTGTTTTTTTGGAATTAATTTTAGTTAAATGCAGGCATGTGAGACTGATTTAAGCACACAGATTCCTCAGAGGACCAGTTATTGTTGTTTTTTCCCCCAGCTGTAGCACTTTACTTGGCAGATCAGTGGTGGCCGTTGGAGGAAATCCTCAAAACCTCTGATTCCTCCCGAGAAGGTCTCCTGAAGGTACGAGAAGGCCTGCAAGCACAAGGCTGCGAAATGGCACTTTAATCACCGCTGTACAGTCACTGCATTGTTTGCATTTGATCATCATCTTCATATTTCAGAGTCATCAGCTAGTACAGTAGCACAAACAGTTCCCATGACTTTTTAAACTAGCTTTTAGATATTTAGAACTGGTGCTTGGCTCTGCTGCGCCGTGGTGGGGCTCTGGCGGGCAGTCCGGGGAATCTTGGGAC